TTTAGTAACTGACTGGAATGAGGGACGGGATGTACAGGAAAGAGAAAGATCAAATATGACCCTGGAAAATTTCTGTCCTGGATGATGAGGAGAATGATGGTGGTATGACAGGAGGACATACAGCAGTTGTGAAAGAGCCAGATTGAGGAGGTGAGCTCAGTTTGGGCTTCTTTCATTGGTGAGCATAAAGCAACAAGAAGGCTTCAGCTTGAGTCGAGATGTCCACTAGACAGAGGGGCAGACAGATATCTGACTTTTTCTGACCTTCCTGAAAAATATGTAAACTGAATAGGTAGGTTAATGCTGAGGGATGAGAATAAAGCTAAAGATTCAAAGTCATCCACAGAATTAGTGTTTGAAACTGAACCTCAGGAATTTAGCAGCTTCTTTTAAACACTTGTAATTCATGGACACATTCTCACTTTTGTGGGTTTTAAAAAAAATACATTTTATTGATTTCAGAGAGGAAGGGAGAGAGAGATTGAAACATCAATGATGAGAGAGAACCATTGATCTGGTGCTTACTGCACACCCCATACTGGGGATGGAGCCACAACCCAGGCATGTGCCTTTGACCAGAATTGAACCTGGGACTCTTGAGTCCACAAGCTGATGCTCTATCCACTGAGCAAAACCAACTGGAGCTCACATTATATCTTTATTAATTGTGCAAACAGGAATGCTGACAGTTGTGGAAATTAGAAAGCTTATGTTTCCTGCATTTGAGTATCAAGTTTGCCATGATTGTTTTACTTATTTTGTTCATTCATTTCTTACTTATTCAATGATATTAACTGTTTCTTTGCAGAAACTTGCAAGGAAACGCTATTTCTTACGTTGGTAAAGATACGTGGAAGTCATACCATTTGGTTGAGAAACTGTGAGTATATTCTCTCCATAAGTGAATTTAAAAAAGCTAACTGCATTGTAAGATCCTTCTTGGTCCAGAATATTGAGGTAGGTAGCTCTGAGAAAAGGTGTTTCCCCCTCTGTATCCCAAATTAGTGTCTATTGATTGCAATTCTGTACATTTAAAAAAATTAAATTTGGTAGGCCCTCTTTAAAATCAGAGTCAATTTAAACTTATTTTCCATTATAACAGGTAATACACGATTATTTTTTAAATATATAAAAATGAGATAGCAGGTATAGTGAAAACCCTGCTTGGTCCTCATCGCCACCTGAAGGTAACTGCTAACTGTTTACTAGATTTCCTTACATATCCTTTTCCATGCTTTTGCCTACATACATATTTACAGATAGTAAAATAGGTATGTTATGTGATTTTCATATCTTTTTTTTTACATAATTGATAACATCCTACCACTTGATTCTTTCACCTCATAAATTATCTTACACGTGTTTGCTTCTTGATAGAGAGAGGGTTACCCAATTCACTTAAACTATTTCATAATATTCCATAGTTTAATAATCCCCCTATTGATGGATATTTAGATTATGTCCAGTTTTCTTGTTACATGTATTTGATGCAACATACATTCTTGTACATGCATCTTTGGGATCATGGGCAGGTATTTGTGTAGAATAGATATTTAGAAATGAAATTATTGGGGTGAAACTATATTGATACAACATTTAATTGCCCTCAAAGAAATTATGCCCACTTATACTCCAACAAGTGGGCAACTACACTATCTATTTTCTTCTGTCCTTCCACAACTGGATAGTCTCCATTTTTTTGGCTGATTAATGGGTGTATAAAGGTGGTCCCACCTAAGTTTGAATTTTTCTGATTACTTGTGAATTCAGATTCCTCTATATATTTATTGAACATTTGTTTCTTAACAATAATTTTTTATTGATTTCATAAAGGAAGAGGGAGAGAGAGAGAGAGAAATTCACTTAAACTATTTCATAATATTCCATAGTTTAATAATCCCCCTATTGATGGATATTTAGATTATGTCCAGTTTTCTTGTTACATGTATTTGATGCAACATACATTCTTGTACATGCATCTTTGGGATCATGGGCAGGTATTTGTGTAGAATAGATATTTAGAAATGAAATTATTGGGGTGAAACTATATTGATACAACATTTAATTGCCCTCAAAGAAATTATGCCCACTTATACTCCAACAAGTGGGCAACTACACTATCTATTTTCTTCTGTCCTTCCACAACTGGATAGTCTCCATTTTTTTGGCTGATTAATGGGTGTATAAAGGTGGTCCCACCTAAGTTTGAATTTTTCTGATTACTTGTGAATTCAGATTCCTCTATATATTTATTGAACATTTGTTTCTTAACAATAATTTTTTATTGATTTCATAAAGGAAGAGGGAGGGAGAGAGAGATAGAAACATCCATGATGAGAGAATCCATTGATCAGCTGCCTTCTGCACACTCCACACCAGGGATTGAGCCCACAACCTGGGCATATACCTCTACTGGGAATCCACTGTGACCTCTTGCTTCATAGGTTGACATGCAAACACTGAGCCATGCTGGCCAGGCAGGTTTGAAGGTTTCTAAGTCAGCTTGAGATTTATACTTTGTAAGGGAGAGGTTCCTAACTTAGAGTCAGTGGACCCCCCACTGCACCATTTCTTACCATTTTCCTCCCAAATATCTCTTTGATGATCTGCAGAAGCCTATATTCTTGAGGACTATGTTTTTAAAAGATTTATAAGTTAAAGTATATATGAAAATAAGGAAATCTATTATTAAAATGCATATTTAAAAACGTTTTTTATTTTTCTATGATGATTCTTTTTTTAATCCTCACCTGAGGATATTTTCCCTTTGATTTTTAGAGAGAGTGTAAGAGAGAGGTAAAGACAGAGAGAAATATCAATGTGAGAGAGACACATTGATTGGTTGCTTCTTGCACGAGCCCCGAGCAGGGCTTGGGCTGGAGAAGAGCCTGCAACCCATGGCATGTGCCCTTGACCAGAACTGAACTGGGGACCTTTGGTCCATAGGCAGACATTCTATCCACTGAGCCAAACCAGCTAGGAATAAAATAATTTTAAAAAATAGATTATTGAAAGGCCAGCCAGCATGACTCAGTGGTCAGCCTATGAACCTCGAAGTCACGGTGAAATTCCCATTGAGTATATGTCCGGTTGCAGGCTCAATCCCCAGTGTGGGCTGTGCAGGAGGAAGCTGATCAATGATTCTCTCTCATCATTGATGTTTCTCTCTCTTTCTACTTCTTCCTTCCTCTGTAAAATCAATAAAAATATATTTTTAAATTAAAGCAATAAAATATTGATACTACTTCTCTTTTTTACATTTTTATTTAATCCTTGTCTGAAAATATTTTTTCATTAATATTTTTCAGAGAGAGTGGAAAGAGGGAGAGAGAGAGAGAGAAAGAGGTAGAGAGAGAGAGAGAGAGAGAGAGAGAGAGAGAGAGAGACTGTTCAGGCAAGGCTACAGGCAAGTAGGTATAAAGAGAGAGACAGACAGACAGACAGACAGACAGACATGAGAAATAGATATTGACTGACTGCCTCCTGCTGGTTTGGGGCCAGGGATTGAACCTACCACCAAGGTATATGCCCTTGACTGGGAATCAAACCCATGACCTTTTGGTCTGTTGGCCAACACTCTAACCACTAAGAAAAACCAGCCATGGCCAATCTGCTCCTCTTATATTAAGTAACACAAGCTATAGTGGTTGAACTAATAACTGTTATAACTTCAATGTAGTGATGAGAATAAATGATATTTTGAGATATCTGCAACAAATATGTTATATGAAAACCTCTGTGATTTTTTTGAAGTCCCAATGAACTACTATACTGCTAATCTATGGTTTGTTGCCTACATTCACAATGCAGGGCAATGCTAATTTTAGGTAAAGGTTTGTGAAAATAGAGATGTAATTTTATTTCCCATTCAGGTTTGGCCCCCTGAATTCAGTCCATACAATCCTATTCACCGACCTCTGCCCTGAAGGGATAATCAACAAATGGAAATTACATGCACGCTTTTGCATGCATTGGAGAAAGTACAGTTTTCTAGGGAAAGGGTCTATAGCTTTTATGAAATGCTAACAGGGCTCTTGTCTCCAAAGTTAAGAGTCACAAATGTAGGGGGGAAGAAAGACATTTCCTTGCCTATAAAGCTGAGCTTATTCTCAGGAGTGATAGTAAATGGATTATTTGTTTTAAATAAAAGTAGTAGACTGAAAATGATGTTTGTCATTTTCTGAAATCATGGAAAAAGTATTTATGGAACATCTGCTACGTGCCAGGTACTGTTTTGTGTGCCAGGATTACAGGCCCAAGAACAACGTAGATAAATTACATGATTTTTCAAGGGGTTTACAAGTATATAATATGAAAATGAATATCTCTCTATATAAAATCCTAATATGCAATTTGTCCCCAAGGGAGTTTGACTGGGAGACCAATGGCTTGCTATGACATGCGCTGACCATCAGGGGGTGGTGCGAAACGAAGGAAGGCTCTGGCCAGCAGCCAGCAACCAGGGAATGGAGGCGCCAGCCAGGCAGCCAGAAGGCCCCAATTAGCCTTGATTGCCAGCCAAGCATATGGACCGTACCTATGCATGAATTTTGTGCACTAGGCCTATAGTGTGTGTGTGTGTCTATCTATATACATACATATATAT